CTCGAAGAGGCTTTGGGTCAAATTGATCTTGCTCAGAACGAGGATAAACAGGCACATCACGTTGTGTTTAGAAGCACCAGCGCGGATTCAAACATGCGTACTGCATATGGTGGAGACTTGGTGCCAGGTCGTGTCGTCAGGTGTTTCAAGTATCTTGGAGGTCTGTCGCATTACTCTGGTGGAAATGCCGCAGAGATCAGTGCTAGGATACAGGCTGCAAGGACAGGGTGGTGCTGCATGGGTAAGTTCTGGAGTAAACCATGCACCGCCAAGAGGCCAGTGCTTAGCATCTTTAAGTGCCACGTGTACTCCCGGCTTGTGTCAGGGTTGGAAGCCCGTGTTTTGCTGCAGGGCGAATTTGCCAAGCTTGATCGGACCGTTCTCACGTATGGGCGAAAGCTCATGCGAGGCGCAGCGTGTGTCAAGATCACTTCTGAGGATGGGTCCACGCAATACCACGCGTTACCGTCCATCAATGTTTGGAGATTCTTGCAGTTGGCCCCGGCTTGTGTGGAGTTGCAAATCAGGCGCTTGCGGTATTGGCAAAGTGTTGCCCACAGACCACACTTGCATGCCGCCACCCTTGCAGCTGTTTTTGGCAAACTTGTGCTTGAAGCAAGGCCTCCCGTGGATGCTGCAGGCAAGCTTACGCCATATGCCAACCCCTGGGCGGTGCAGTTCAAAGAAGACCTTGAAGCCTTGGGAGGTTGCGACGATGGTAGAGACCTTGCTGCACAGCTTGATGGTCGCGTGTTGCTGGTTTTCAGCTTGTACCGAGAGTTGTTTGTGGCGATTGATTGCAGTGTGCTGCGAAGGCAGTTCTTATCCGTGGCAATCCCACCACCTGAGTTTGTTCAAGCCCCCATACTCGCACCTCCAGACCCGGTTGAAGTCGACAGACCGCACAAGTGTGACTGTTTGCTTGATGACGGTACTCCATGCGAAGCATCATTTGCATCGTGGCAGCGTCTTGTTGTACATAAGACAAGTACAAAGACAGGTACGCACGGCCAGCCATCGCTTGCTAGGCAGGCCACAGTGGCAAATGTGTGCCCTTGGTGTAGGCATATCTTTGCGACAAAGCGGGTTGCGCAACAACATATTCATCGAGCGCTGCGCAAGCACCGGCAAAGGTTCTAACACTGTTTTTGCAGTGGTGCCTGAGAGTTTATGCTGTCCTTTTTGCCAACATGAGCATGACAGTATGGATGAGTTGCTCACATGCATTACCGCACATGTTGTCGGACCAAACTCGTAGGGGGTCTGGTTTCGTTGTGGGTGCGGCCTTAGTTCCGTCCAAGTGCCCCGTCAACATGAATCAGTGGCTCGCATCTGGTGACGCTCGACCTGCCAAGCATCCACGCAGCGAAGCAGCAACACCACAGGAGCTCGACATGCACCTAGTGGGGAAACTCTTGTTACTGTTGTCCAAGTTGTCGCTACGACACAGCCTCGAGATCAATGAGCTCCAGTCGGCCACATTCAAGACCATCGTGATGGGCAGGGAGTCCTCGCTCATCAGTGAGGCACAGGAAGCAACACGCTCGTTTGCTGAGAAGGCCAAGAACGCCAGAGAGACACGCAATAACAAAGCGATCGACGAACTGGGCGAGCCGCAGTACCACAGCTGGGCAGCTCTGATCAAGGTGGCAGTGGAGGACACGGCCATGTCGCAGCAAGATCGAGACGTTCTGACTGCACATTTCAATGGAGTGAGGTCTGTAGCCGATCTTACGGACAAGGTGTTCATCGCCAAGGTCAAGCGGTGCTATGACAAACGCGTGAACAAAGTCCACCTCGCAGTATGTGCTGAGCTGAGCCCCGTACTTGATGCCTTGCTACGTGCCATGAGTCGCGCCGGAGGGAAGATCAAACACGGCCAGCCACCACGCAGCGGGAATGACAGGGAGCTGCAGGATCTTGTGGACAAGCTTGCTAAGATCGTCCAAGACGATTAACGAGTGCGAGCACTGAGCGGGTGCACGGAGCATGCGTAAGCCATGCTTTCCGGGGGTGGGGTGCAAGACTCTCGTGCCGTAGACTCTAGTCGGGCCCTGAGTTCTTGCTGTCTCCAGTGGCGGCGTTACAGCTTGTGCTGTGCTGTCGTGTGCTGTAGGAGGTTTGTGTTTCAAATGCTGTGGCGGTCATTTCTGCGATATGCCACCTGCTCAGCCATGACACTTGGACGTCAGAGGGCTGTGGAAGAAGGAGAGTTCGTCATCACCTCTGCATGGTGCTTTGTATTGCGACGGTTCGATGCGGTTTCTGCACGCTCGAGTATCTTTGTTGGGACATACATCAGACTCTCTTTGTGATGTTCCTTGTTACGTTCAACCTTACATGCCAAATGCAGCGTTCGCGAGTGGCATACAGCCGCACCCGCACGTGTCTCATGTTGCTCTGTTTGTGGGGTCCGAGGTACAGAACATATCACACATCCAGAACTATTTGTGGTGCAAACTCTCCATGTTTGACAAGCTTGTTATGGGATCTTGGGAGTTGGGCCGTGAAGCCGTTGCACAGATGGTGGCAGAAATCCTTCGCTTGTTATGGCCATGTCGGTGGGCTGCTTCTAGTTTGCACCAGTATCCTAGACACAACCAGTCTTGTTTTGCATGTGCAGTTCGCAAGTTGGGGCAGTCGTTGCGACGTCAACCTGTGTCTGCTTTATCGGATTGCTTGCTCCAGGTTTTGGTGGATAGAACCCACACATGTGATTAGGCTCCAAGACCGGATGGCGTGGTATAACCGTGGGGGCCAGTGGCATGGCAGCAAACAGTCGCAGCAGTATGGCAACAACCAAATGCCAGAGTGGCTGTATCCAGCATACTACCGGGAGAAAGCACAGCGCCAAGCACTGGAGCAACAAGTTAAAGATCGCGAAGCTAAAGACGCCGTTGACGACACCAAGCGGATGATCAGCAACGAAGTTCAGACAGCATTGAAGCCTTTGACAGAATCCATTACAAACGTTTTTGGAATGCGGCAGCGCAGCAAAGACAAGCTTGAGGCAGACAAGGTGCAGCCAGCAACATCATCTACGTCTTCGGGGTCCATGTCGAGGCTTCCTTTGCGAGCTCTACTTCGGAATGATTCCAATGAGTCGTCACAGCCTTCGCCGCCGAGGCCAAAAAGTCGTCGCAAGCATTCGCGCTCAAGATCCCTACAGCGATCCATGTTTCGTCAGCTGATGGCGTCTATGAGCAGCAAGGGTAAGGACAACAAAAAGGACCACCAGGACAAGGGCAGGAAGCGACGCAAGCGTGAAGAACCATCCACTTCATCGTCATCGCCTCCGAGCTCCCATGGTCGCAAGCGCGGACGCCGAGCGAGTAAAGGACACCATCACCGCAACAGGGACCACAAGCACAGCAGCCAGCGTGATGATCGTGACAGTTCCCCGGAGTTGCGCGTGCCTGAGGACAAGGAGGCAACCCACAATAAGAAGACTTTGACACAACAACGTGCTCAGAAGATCGTATTCGTGATCGCCCCCAGCGCGAAGGTCGAGGAACTCCCCGATCCAGAGGCAGATAGGGATGCTTGGATCAACGCGGTAGCCAACCTGACCACCAAGAGCAAGTTGGACGCTATCATGCAGACCAATGCCATCAGCACTTCTTCCACTCACAACAAGTCCAAGAAAGTTGAGCTCATCGTCCAGTTCATGCTGAAAGAGTGAGTCTGTGTGAAAGCAGAAGCATGTGCGGAATCATTGGTGGTTGCAGTCGAAACTTTCGCCGTCGATTGTTTCAATGCGGCATACTGCTGATGCTACCGTTTTCTCTCTTGTGTGACGGCCTGCGTGCTCTGGCATCCCTCATAATGCCTGCACGTGTGAGCTGGATTTTCGCTTGCACGGTGACCCTTTGCGCTATGGGCACAGTGATTGAACTCATCACTCGGGCATGTTCACCCAACTGGTTTGACATGCCCGTAAGCAGTAATCTTGAAGACACTTCTCTACTAGAAGTGTCTATCCAGTTGCACATGTCAGTCACGTCTGCGATGCAGGTTTTGTGTGTTTGTTGTTGGGCTTCTGTTGCAGCAGCAGGCGTGCTTTGCGCACATTTGTCCATGTTCACCATAGCACATCCTATCTTAGTGACGTGCTCTATCTTGTTGTTTTCCACAATTGGCTCTTGACAGCCCCTTAGAACGCGCTCTTCGCCAGCGAGGCTACATGCAGGGTAGGCGACAAGTCCTGCACTGAGGGGCAAATCATAAAAAACATCCGCGATCGAAGGCTGTATTCTTTTCTTCTGTTTTTTCTACATGGGCTCACCTGAACGCCTCAGCTTACGCGCTGAGTCGAGGCTGCGGCTTCATGTCGTATCGTGCATCACCCTCGCAGCTTATACAGTCGCTGCAAAGCAGCCTGGACGGTTTTCCTCAGAGCGAAACCTGTTGCGCTGAAACAAAAGTTGTCCGCGTAGACTGCTTGCCTCCTTATTGCATGACGTGACATGCGTGTCTTGATCCATGCGGGCATGCCAGGCACTTCGGCTTCCTTTTTTGCCTCGAAGCGAGCAAGGGGCGTTCTTTATCTAAAAGAGTGGCTCGAACTCGGCATCGCACTGCCACAAACTGTACATTGTTCAAGTCTCATGTCTCACAGCTTCAAGCACGCTATGTTCTTCAAGCAGAGGTTAGTATAGAGGCTACTGGAGGACTGCCATGTGCTGCTGCATGCTCATGCAATGAAAAAGCATGTGTTCTGCTGTGCTTTATGCAGGCATGTGACATGCACGATAGTTCGGACGACCCATCTCTAGCGCAAGCTTGGGCATCACGATTCTGACCAGTATTGCTTTGTGCCGTCGTACGGACGTTCTGCGGCCAGCCGGTTGAAGAGTTCGCACCCCCATTAAATCATATTTGCAAAGGTTTTGGACGCAGGTTTTCGGTTGGATAGTCCGTTTTCCAGACCGCGTTCGGGGTTGGGTTCCGCTTGAAGTTTGCCCTACCCTTTTTGGTAGTGTTGCCGCAAGCCTAGTCAGGAAAGCATCCTCCAAAGCTCCGCTCATTTCATGGCGCAGCCAGACTCTTGAATCCAATGGAAGCTTTGGTGGTGATTGCAGTGGCATGCAGTCCACTTCAACGTCCCGGTTCCAAACCTTTGCCCAAGGAATGGGCGGCGCTGCAACGGGTGCTGGAATCCGGGGACGACTGGCTCAGCCCTGGGTCTGTAACACTGGTTTTTTTTTGTGCATGTCTATGTTTGTATGTTGGCGCATTTCTGCTTGAGCATTACAGGGGTTCTTGCGAGACCCGTTTGCCAAGGATGTTTGAACCCCGTGTAGATCCCCAAAATGTGAAGACCATGCACCATGCACAGTGTACGCCCCAAAGAAGAGAGCAGAACCACTGCGACGAACACGACCACCACGATGACCTCGCGATAACGACGACCACGACGACGATGGTACCAAGAGGAAACCACCAGGAAAACCCCACGTTGGACAGGCAACTTCCCCCGTGATGTACTAGCCGGATTCTGAGACTCGACCAATATGTTGTTTGTTCTGTGCTGGCGGGGTTCTTGCGTTTTCAGGCCAACGCGTTTGAATTCACAATCCTTCCCTTTTTCTGGAGGACGTGGCCGCACATCATGGGACACGAGCCGTGCCACGGCGCGCCCGTGGGGTTCTGCCAAAACCTGTTTTTCTTCAAAACTTGGCACTAAATGCAAGAATCGTATGATTCCATTGCGTGCATCATGCACTTTGAGGCAACACACGTGTTGGCCACAGGGGGAATGTACATGTGGTGCCTCGCAGCTGGAGTCAGCTTGAGTGCGTTAGCAGTTGTATTGAGAATATGACCGTGTATGTTCGCAGCTGTGAAGGCAAACTTCAAACCGTGTAAGCACGTGATTTGTGTTCTTGCGCCAGTGGGGGTGTACACGAAGACACGAAAGGTCACCGAACACTTGAAGTCAAACAGCACGAAGTTGAGGTTTCTTGTGTTATTGCTTATGTTCGTGCCTTCGCTGGTAGTGCAGATCCTTTTTTTTTTTTGTGTTTGCACTGTTCCTTCGCGAGGTTGCTACATTTTCGAACCCCGTTTCAGCGTCTCGTGTGTTGTTTTTGCTGTTCGGCATTAAGGAGTGTCGCCTTCTCGCCCTTTCGCTGTTCTGGTTCTCGCTTTTGCGCTCTCCTGTTGCAGTGCAGCTCGCCTCCGCAGATTCCTAGTTGAGTTGTCCTCCACACAGTCACAAGCACCAAGGTCTTGAGCCGTGTGCAATATCCCGAGGATGGGTGACGTTTCGGATTGTGGATGGAGGATAGTTCATTTACTTGACCCTTGTGTGGTCGGAACTCGCAAGGTTGGGCAATGTAGACATTTAATGTCTCATCAGCATCGCTGTGCTTTCGGCTTACAGATGCGGGTGAAGGTTGGGGGCGCGATTTCAAGCCATATATAGGGTGCACGATTCTCAGTTGTGTAGCGTGCGCGATCTCAATATCGAAGCGAAGATCTAGTTACCTCAATCGCGCCGAGTATACTGCGCCTGAAATTTTCAGACCTTCTTCAGCAAACAGTTTTGGCATGGGGTTCTTCGCGCTGAGTACGTTGTGTTCTAGATAATTAATGCCCTCCAGGCCTCGTGTGCACCTCGTATTGGCCAAATGCCCGACTTACTCCCCCAAGGTCCTGATGTCGACTCACACTTGGATGCAGTGGCAATGCTGCTGGAAAGCTCGGCTGCGCAGCCCGCCGTCATCGTGGAGCTTCTGGGCATGTCCATTCCCCAAGCCTGAGCAATTAGAGCCGGTGAGGCTTTAGGACTCCTGTTCTATACACACTCAGAACAAGATCGCCTTGAATGCTGCACCACAGCCCAACTTACCCTTCAATCTCCCAACCGCAAATTCCATGCCATACCCCGAAGACCTTACTGGCCTTGCTGTCGCCTTTGTCAGGCCCTCTCCCCAACCCTGAATCCGAGCAGTAATCCTTAAAGCTCTGAAGTCAACATGCGTCTGAGGCTTGGGAAGTTTGCGGCCGCTGCAGTGGCCTTCACTAACCCAGGCTCAGCCAAAGAGGATGCCTGGACGCGCCGCAGGGATCTGCATCCAGGGTGCAAGTTTTGAGCTTTCGTTTTTTTCAATATGTTTTGTTGGGTTTCGCAAACCCGCATACTGCTGGAAAACCAGGTGACTACTATGCGATGACTACTTTCTATCTGCTTGAAGCCATGCGCAAATGGGAAAATCCGGATGAACATGACGGAGTCGTGCAACGCGGCCGACGAGTTGTATTCCGAAGCTTCCAGATACCTGAACCATGATTGAAAGGGTTTCCTATGCTGATATGTTTGTCTTAGGCCTGTAGGTATAGGTTTGTGCTGAAGCTCCTTGCCTGCTGGTTTACGTTGGACGACTCCGAGTTAATGTGTGGTGTCAGGTTTGCAGTCCTGCTAAGCATTCTGATCATGTGCGCAGGCAATACTCACCATCGTGTCGAAAACCACAGGCTCAAAGGACTCGACGGTCCAACCCCCACCAAGAACAAACGTGCCAATCGCGTGCACAGCAGTGAGTTTCGGGAAGCTCCACGTGCGTGGAATTTGGGTAAGCTAGAGTCATTTAGGCCATTTATAAATCACTTACAGTCAGAGTTAAAGGACTTTAGCAACTAAGTTGTAAGTATTCGCTAAATACTGAGCAAATATATTCGTATAAGAAAGCTAATTTCCGGTAAATGATTTCCGTGCTGAAAACATAGGTTTTCGACATCCAGCAGTCTTGTATGAACAGGCGGCGTATAGCTGCACAAAGTGATACAGTACTTGAGATAGCGGGCACGTTGACATTGCGTTTACAAACACATGTTGCCGGCACATAAAGATAGTACAGAATCCTCTTGATGGTTAGGCAGATTTCTACACTATGTACCGTTGTTGGTGCCCTTGCGCAGTCAAAACACAGGCAGCGCTGTCAAAGATTCAGTTTTGCCTTTCTGTCTCAACACAAGGTATGTGCCGTGCCGGCCTCTTCCATGCAAGCGTAAGGTCCCACACAAGAATCATGCGTCAGTGACACCACTTGCACGTGTTCAGCCACGGTCCAATTCCAAAGTCCGAGGATTTCAGCAGAGGACGTAGAGTAGCTGGATCTTTGTTAGCAACGTTCACTTGCACACTTCCAAGTCTTGCACAGTACCTGCCCGGTTCCTTCTGGCCCAAATCACTCAAGGCGGCCACGGCCAGGACCAAATTAGAAGGCGACGCGAGCACTCGAGAGCTGCAGATACGAATCGTATGTGCTTTTGGCCAGTTTTTTTGGCCGCTGTCTTTATGGAACTGTGCAGCAAACCTACCTCAGTTCCTGCCCTCAGCGAAACTCCGCGACTGCATCACTGACCTCCCTGCCTGGAATCTCAGCGCAGACAAAGCATGGAGCCCCCCGTGTGTGCTGTCAGGCCAGGTGGACGGTAAATCAAAGTTAGGACCAGCTAAAGGAGCATTCTGTCTCACCCGAAAGTCTGCGTCTAAGCATTCTACAACTCAGAGTTGCAGAGCTGCAGGTTGCATGCAGGCCATGGCTAAGGCGTATCGAGAAGCTTGCTTTCTTGGTACCTGCGCTGTGCGTTTTACTACCATCGCAAGCGGATCACCAGGTCTCTCAGCCCAGCAGTGGGTTTAGCTATACATAGTTTCCCCGATGAGGTAGAGTACAAACCCAGCGTAGCGGTGCAAGTGCTACAAAAACGCGGCCAAGCTATGCAAAGATGCCCAAGCCGCTCAAGTCGCACAACGTCAATAGCGGCCAAGCCGCTCCGGCCTCACAATGCCAGAAGCGGCCAAGCTGCCCAACTCCTATACCGAGGCGGCCGAGCCGCTCAAGACTCTATATACGCCTGCATGACCGCATGAGCCCTGTATATATAAGCCAGCAGGAGTTTAAAGGACCGCGCAAACCTACCAAACTGCTGTGCAAGATTCGGTCTTGACAAAGACCACAGTGGCAAGCGCTGCAAGCACGGGCGCTGCATCCGCGCAAGCAAGCAAAAGACCCCCTCATTTTTCTTGGCTGCAGAAACTCAAACCCTTCCACGTCCTCGGGTGTTACATCTCGCAGAAAATCGTGCTGCCCGGTTCATAATGATTCTCTAGTTGGGCCGAAGATTTCACCAATTCAACACCCACCTACAGCCGCTATGTGAGATTCCAGCGAGCAAACAGCATGCTCGTAACTTGCCGTAAAGCAAACTTTCGATAAATGAAGCTAAATGAAGCTATCTAAACGGATGTCTGATGTCTCTGCATGCAAAAAGAAAGGTGCAAAATTACGGTCAACTTATAAACGGATGTATGTCCTGCAGCATCCTACAACCACATATAACTACTTGCAACATATGTAAAGCTATTGAATTAGTTGCAGCTCGACCTGGCCAATTGTAAGTCACCTATGCCACTTAGAACTCGTTTATATAACCCCTGTATAAGCCCTTGATACTCCATTTGCAAATGGCCTAACTTGAAGCCTGCCCCGCAAGCACAGCCTGGCTAGACCCGGCGTTTTGCCACACATTGCAAGTATCTGGGGCACACATACATTGCCTCCGTCCCTTTCCGCGTGCTTGGCCTTGGCCTTGATGTTTACGGATCCTGGCTCGTAGGAATCAACGCACTGTCCTGCACCAAGTGCGCCTCCTTGAACCCAAACTGAACCCGCAGCCCGCATCAACGCCGGGAGCCATTTACCCTACCTCGCTGTCCGCTACGATCGTAAAGCTCATAGCCCCCTGTGTGAGCTCCTCCAGAGCCTCCCTCCCGAACTGGTCAGCCGTGCTTGCTCTTGCGCCAACCCGCTATATGGACGGCACTGGCTGCACAGCATTGCACAGCCCAGCTGACCGCGAAGACTCTAGACCAGCCGTGGATCCCAGAAAAGCCCTGCAAGAAACCACCAGGAAAAACTTTCCCAAACGCATATCATATCAGCACACCTCCTGCAGGCCGAGCTCGGACATCCTGTTACTGAAAAATAGTGCCTACAGTAGAACCCGCCCAGATCGGTCACAAGTGTCTGCACCCACATTGCAGCAGCAACCACTGCCTGCACATTGACGCCGGCCAGCCTTTCCGCCTGCATCTGCTGATTGCCCTCAACTGCCACGCAAGATCCCGATGAACACATCGTGTAGTTCATGCAAGCAGGCGTGCCTGCAGGAGATTTCGGCCCTTTGCCAGCAAGCAAGAAGTGGCCAGCAAACACAGACCTGCCAAACGAAAGCTTCTCACCACACCCAGACATCCTGTAAAGCCTGCTCTGCAAACAAGTCGAAGGAGGTTGCGTGCAAGCTGTCGATGGCGACGAATCCGCCGCACAGCAACGGTGAGTGCCCGCTCTGCCTCTGTGGCAGCAACGAGGGTCTCGCATCAGTGCTGGGGGACAATGCAGCGTCGCAAGCAAGCAAGACATTCCCAGTACAGCCTGTGTTTTCTGCATGCCTTCAGCCCCGGACGACAGCCACTCCGCCACCGCATGCATGAGCCACTGCAAACTTAGCTCTGCCAGCCACACTAGCCATGCTGAGACGGCCTCCCGTCTCTGTCATGCCTCTGGGCGAGACGCAGAAAGCTTGACAGTTGGACGTACGAATGTTTAGTGAATCAAGCAGGAGGCAGAGTGCCTGCCAAGCACCATCAAGCACCCCTGCAGCTTTTCGGCCCCACCCAACACAGGCCTTCTTGAGAAAACGGGGCACTACACTTGCCCGCCCACCGGGCGACCGACAGTTTTCAGCACACGTGAAAAAGGAGAGAACATCTCGTTTTCCCCGCTTTGCGTGAATACATGTTGTGTAAGCTAGATGAACACAACGGAGAACGCTTCATTTACCATACATTTTGTCATCCCATCATGGCTGCTTTCAGCATGACATAATGCGCCGTTCATTTAGCTGTCTTGGATCCACAGCATGCGGACACGCTGTTTTTTTCTAAGCCTGCTTGCCCACCTGCTTTGAACATGCAGTGCCTTCGTCACTTCTGACAAGTTTTGAGTTGTCGCAAATCTGTGCAAGGGTGCTCTGGTCGTATTTGCAGTTTTCTTGCGCTTCCGAAGACCGGCAGCCACCCCATACCTAGAGAAGAAACGAGGACTGCGTCTTCAAAAGATTCCAGCTACTTGTTACAAGATGAATGTGACTAATGTGTTCGATCTCTAAGCAGAGGATGTTTGACGTGTTCAGCTTATGCTGCTGTAGTTGCTTGCTTTGTGGGGAAGGGATGGAAGGGAAGCGAAGCCGGTGAAGCACTAAGACACATCTATAAGCATCAGACAATGCTTTCGTGGTTAAGCAACTCTTTTCAGAAGCCCGGAGCTTCGTTCACTAACTTTTCCAGCTTTGGAATGCTGGATATCACGTTGTCAGTTTTCCAATAATCCCACATTAATTTGTTGCTCCAGTTGTTGGCCGTTGCTTTGCACGCAGTTGGCAAGAGGTGGATGCATTTGCAGCATTTGCATGTGCACAGGAAATGCTGAGAGCCGTGTCGTGGCCACCGGCTCGAACGGCCAACCGCGACTGAGGAAAGATGTGCCCACTGCACAGCAACTAGTTTCAGCAAACACCGCTTCTGATGTGACGAGTCCAACAATCCCGCAATCCGACCGCAACTGTTTGGCATAGGTGCAGCGACAAAGAGTATTTTGCAAAAAATGATCGTCAACCTGCCGCACAGCGATGCAAAACACATTGACCCCTGAACCGCTACTGCTTTTGTGCGAAGCCTTGCATGGTGCTCAGGGGTGTCACATTCATGCGAAAAGGTTTTCTACTTGTTAAGCCAGTAGTCTTGATCGAAAGTTCCTTGCCCCACTGTCCGAGCCAAGGCACCTGCTCGTGTCACAAGTTCAAGAGGTGTGGGGGTCAGATTTTGCCCTGGCTGAACATCGCGGCTGGATAACTGGCTTCGGCTTCTGGGATGCTGCAGCTCGGCAGCTCAATTTCCAGGACCTAGGATCAGGCAGATTGGCACCGTGTGCAACTCGAACAGGAAGCGAGCTGCTTGTTTCGAAGAACCCAATCGGGCTGCTTCGCCGTGTGCGACTAGTTCCGGGCGGAGTATCTTAAGTTGTATATCAGTCAAACACAGTAGACAAGTGCTTGTCAGGAGCCGAGCGAGTAATTCCTTTATGCGTGCTACCAGAAATTAGATGGTGATGCCCTAGCAATGGCAAGCCTGCAGAGCCTGGCCTCTATTACAGACTGGGGGATCTTCCGGCTGGGCTTCATGTACGGTCATGTCGAGCCATAAACCACCAGAATCCCAGAAGTCCCAACCATTCCACTGCGGGGCGACTGAGGCAGCCATCTTGCTTCGAGGCTATTGGCCTGCAGGTGGGCAGCACGGTTGGGACGTTTAGGGTTTTAATGTTGAGGCCACGATCATCAAGCCACGCCGTTTGCTCGGAGGACCGAAACCCGAATCTTAAGTTTGTGAAGCAACATCGTAAAACGACACCATGTTCCAGCTTTTGCATCAAATTCCACACACAGAAAGTTCATACACCTTATTCGTACATGGCACTCTCAGCACCGAGCCTCACCTAGTCCTGGACGGTCCAAGCTATTGCATTCCTGACAAAGGAATCTCAACGAGCAAGGTTGTTGCACAGTGCTTGTGTAAGGCACCAGGCCCCGTTCCCGCGATGCTGGCTCAGAGTCTCTCAGCTTCCGCTTAAGGACCAAAAGTTTTCTGCGTAGCTCCAAGACGGGGTCAGGCCGTCACTTGTTGGAAGCGGGCGGTCTTCAGGGGATTGTTGTGGTTTGTACGCAGTGCGTAAGTGTCCAGAAGCTTGAGAAGGCACGCTTATTCAGCAAAAACTTGACAATACACATCTATATATGTATGTATATATATATATATAGATGTATGTCTATATATATATATATGTGTGTGTATGTATATAAATATGTATATAAATATATATCTGTATGTACATATGTATGCATATATATATATATGTATGTATGTATGAATATAGCTACCCCCGTGAAAGATCTATGTTGTTTTTCTCTTTGCTGTGCTTTTACGGCTTCGACATTCTACCAACGATGTCAGACTTCGTGCGACTGCCTATGTATGTGTGTATATGTACATATATGCCCCCCCCCCGACTCCCTAAAGACCAACAGACCCATGATGACCTGTTAACAGCAGCTGCTGCTGCTACTGTGCCTGCTCGCACTACTGCCATTGAGATGGTAACACCCCCAGGACCAATCTCGAGCATGTAATTGCTGCGTTGTTGCAGCTAGGAGCCGAAAACATTGTAAATACCAATAGATTCTCTATCGATTCTTTTGTGCCTACCGTTTATGCGCATCGTAACACAGTAATAAAGTTTGAAAACAAGTACCAGTTTCGTGGCTCTGTTTCTTGTCGTGGCATATGCTCCAGCTACTACTTACTGCTATTTACGACAACAACAACAACTACTACTACTACGACTACGACTACGACTACTACTACTACTACTACTGCCGCTGCTACTACTGATGCTGCTACTACTGATGCTGCTATTACAAATACTCGTGCTACGATTATACTGTTTCTACGAAATGACTAATCTGCACCATATTTCTCTAGGGGTCATGGTATTAGATAAATTCCTGCCACTTGTTTAAGTCTTATCAGGATGGTTGTATCAAACCACCACAAGAGCTGATACTACTGCTACTAGTACTGCTGGTACTGCTGCTACTACCACTACTACTGCTACTACTACAATCAACCATTACGAGTAGTAACCAAAACATAAATATCAATACCGTTCAGGCTCTGCCTTGATCCTGGTATACTACTACCGCCTTGTCCTTTTGCTGGTAGCCAAACTCCTGCTAAACTGCCTTAAGCCATCTTTCATTCGCCCATCAAGCCAAAAATATGTTCTTTTTTGGTCTTTAGGTGGAACTAATGAAACAACAGAAAAACATTGTCTTTCACTTACACTGTTCTGTTTGATTTACCTAGCAGGTTTAATCATGTAATAGTGTACACTGAATCTCAAGCATCACGTTTATCATCCTTTTGCATCAGGACTTGTGCAGTCGGATAGACGTGTGACGTAAACATTAAACAGTCAATGAGATTGACAACCAAAAACAAAATTCACCTCTCTACCGTCTCTAAGCACGCAACTACAAACCGTGGTAGTGGTTGTAAGTGTTGTACAGTTTCACATGAGAACCAGACTCGGTTTCACGCGAATAAGTTTATCAACATCACAGACATCTAAATACCTACAAAAGAAGTTTGAAACACAAATAGATGTCATTGTTAGTTTTGATACAGGTCATGGTTTGATCAGCCCGGTGATTTTGACTAGTGACACAGGCGAAATCCAAAACTTTCCAAGGGTTCTTTTGGATTCTATCCAACAATTTACAAAAAACACATGGAAACCAAAAAATTCCAACAACAAAAAAGAGAGCAAATCCAAAGATTCTGTCAAAATCTTTGAACTTTTGGATTTCCCAGTGTTCGCTAATTCCTTTCGCGAGCCCTTCATGAGACTCAAACATATCGCAATTCAGCTTAACATCGTGCAGGCTTACTCTTGGGTACACAGTGTTCGTTTATTGCAGCGCAGCTTTGTTTGAAGCTTGCATCGTTGTGCTCCGATCCGGGGTTTTGTGACGCAGATTTGGGCGGCCATTTGAGTTTTGTACAACAGCACTTTTACCGGTATTTACAGTGCTTTCTATATGTTTTGCATACGGAAGAAAGCCGGCGGTGGATCATGGGCGGGTTGATCATATATATATATATATATATACATACATACATATGACCGTAAGCTCATGGCTGCAGATTCCGCGGCAGAAGCAATACGTTCAATTACCTTCATGTGTGATGCCTGGTTGTTTACGACAACGTAATTACAGGCTTTTCCATGGTTTCGGCATGAATACTCCTAACATGTTTTGTCCATGATGTCTCAAGGACGTGGAGAATTAGGCCACAGTGTAGCGAGAGAAGGGGAGATCCGGAACGCCGAGAAGCTGGAAACTGTTCTGAACGCAAGCCGCCATCTCCTTTGATTCTGAAGACCTACACGTTAGTGTTCTGTAGCGACCGCCCAGACTTCTCGCTCACATGCGGGCTGCGGGCACGTGGCTGGTGGAGAACGACCACGAGGAGTTCGCATCCCGGCCACAATGTAATATCGTTTGACGATCGTGCCAGGCCCAGTCACGCTGATCTCTTCTGGTTGGTTTGGCTTTTTACGTCGCACCTTCATGTCAACTTGGGTCACCCAGTGCTCCGCCTCTTTAGCAGGAAGCGTCCCGATATCTGCAGAAGAACTTCAAGAAACTGCACATGTTGTGCACCCCCACGCTCATCAGCAAGACCTTTGGAAGGCTGATCATAGAATATTATAGCTTCCAATATGCTGGAGGAAGCCTTGCTTTCGCCGCCGCCGCCGCGTCCTGCCATCTCCTGGCGCTTTGGGTAGGGGGGAGCAACCAGAAGCCTTGGACCTTAGGCACACAAGCCAAACCTACGCAGTTTCAATTGTTGCGTTTTGCAGGACTCGATCCTCTCGATCATGACCCAGAAGCCACGAACTCAAGACAGCCTTAATGTCTGATCCGGCCCGTAGCGACTGAAACCGGCAACCGCGATTGTGAACCATGGGGTGAGGACCGCAAGGACTCAGCTTCACACGGTCAACGTTTGTCCTTTTCACGGTTTCTGTTTCTGGCTTCAGCAATTGGGGTGTCGTTCGTTGAGTCATGGCCCGAGTGTCGCATGGATTTGCAGCACATTCATGTTTATCCGAGACACATGCAAGACTTTCCCGTTGAGATGTGCACTACATAGATAAGCTAGGTAAAGTAGTTCTGAGACAGCGCGAGCAACGGGCAAGGCTTTGCAATTCAAGAGGTTGCAATGCCATGTCCGTTGTGGATTACGAGGCTGTCTGTTGGATCTCAGCTAGGCTCCGACAAAAGCTGAAGACCGTCAAAGCCTCGTACCCCACACCTTGGGGATTGTTGAAGCCCTACACATGAATTGTTCAACCTGAATGTTTCATCAGTAGTGGTATGTGGAGGAGACATGATGCAAGCACAGTTCATGTAGTTGGAACATCTGCATCCTTAGTGCGTAGGGGCGAAGCCGTGTCAAGCCTCAGGTGACATCTTTGCATCCTACGAGGCCCCCCGTTACAATCCTAGAAAGGAAAGCCATGAACCCCTACACTCATCTACATCTCGAAGCCTCAAGTCGTTTCGAATGTCCAGGTGGGCACAGCCCCAGGTGTTTGATCCAATAACATTGCGGCACCAAGTGCTTCCAAGGAGAGGGTTTACCTCAACCCACCAAATCTAGGCAAAATTGCACATTCGGAGGGCTGAATGCGACTGTTTTCACTGACCGGCTTCTGGATATTGTTGTTCTGAAAGTTTGGACTTGCTGTGGGCCTTGGAACAGCACGGGTGTTGGTTTCAAACTCTCTGCCGTCGTTCTTTCTTGCAACACCACAGGCTTTGCAGGTTTTGCTGTGTTCTGCTCATGAGGTATGAATCTTCAGATCGAAGGGTGCGGGCCGCGGGTTTCGGATGCTGCCTCGTAGGTGCCTTTGAGACGCTGGTGCCAGGTTCTGAAAGTGCGCGAAGTGTCATGGTAGTGCAATCCCTCCCTAATCAGGCTTATTTGACGTGAAGGCTCAGGCCGTAAGCCCTCGGCCCGAGAATGATGTCAATAACTGTTTCTAGCAGCCGAGATTGCAAACATCGTCCGTTCCAAAACGCAGAGAAGCAAAACCACCGCTTGTGTTTTGCTGTGGGAGTGATAGGAAGACTCTGCGCATCGCCATCGTAGAGGAGCACCGTATCGACTACCAGGAGCTTCGAGCTCTATTGATGCGCGTGTCGAAGCTGGACTGACTGCCACCCTTGAACACCTTCCCAGGTTTAGTGCTTCGGGTTTAGGGTTTGCGGTGATCGGAAAAATCAGGTGCCGTAGACGCCGCTGACCAGTGATTGAAGATAGTCAGGAAAGAGTTGTTTGACGCTGCTCTGACGACCGACAGTTGCTTGACTTTTCTTGGAGTCGCGGTTTTCCTTCGCGTTCGTCCCTGAGTCAGACCTGAAAAAATTGAAGCGGCGAAAGCTGAACTGGCGCATTGCCCAAAGGAGCCTTCCGCGTAGATAGGGGCCAGTACATGGTTTGCATACTGGTAACTAGATCAATGCGGTGCTGACTTGCATCCCCCGAGTTGTTTGCAAACCACCCCTGTAGGTTCTACCAGCAGTTAATCGTTACTTGCAGAAACCTCAATAGTCGAATAGTCGTTAGCCGTTAGCCAAGCACAAGCGCCACTCAACACTGAATCGGCAAAGGCTACTTTCTTCAAGAACGAGATCCGCTTGGTAACGAAGTGCGGCCTGAAGAGTGGGACGCAATGGGGCGACCTGCTGAGCAGAGCCGCTGAGTAGTGATTTTAGTGCGGCATGGATTTTAGGTTGTGCTTTTCAGGCTTGGGGTTCTGCCCTGAACAAACGATATGTCAACAAGGCGTGGTCATGGTGGGAGAACAGCAGACTACATTGACATGCCATTGTCATTGTCCAGATCCGAACCACAAGAACTCCTGTGTCTTCGGCACGGGAGCCTGTAACCCCAAGGCCTCAGACCCTGAAAACGAAGGCGGCAACATCTCGCATCTCTACCTCCTCCACGGCATAGAGGCCGGCTTCGAGGAGGTGTGGAGCTGGACAGACAGCCCTAAATGGTGCTTCGGAGAGATTAGGCTCTGTGACTTTCTGCCTGCTCAGTTTATGCGACGGGGTTCTACGCATCGTGGCCCACCCATGTGGTTTCCAAGACCTGGAGCTGCACAATGGTTTCATAAAGCCACGTACCACTTTGATATGTTTTGACCAGTGAAACCCTGTTTTTCTGCAGAGCCCAGTCTTAGATTAAATTGTAGTTATGGGTCATATCAGTCCTCCCCACATGCACGATTGAGGTCTCAGACAGACCTGGTGGCTGGCTGCTCTCCCATCTGGGCCTGCGTGGCCTTGAATCAGGCGCTTGAAGGCATGCCCATCATCGTTCGACAGAAGCTGGGTTTGGGTTTGGTCCAGAATGCCGGGATCGACGTTTACCGATACTCTTGCTGTTCTGTACTTACAGGCCGGGGATTTCAGTTTGCAAAGGGGTTGCTGGTCTTTGTCATATGGTACTGAGAGGGCTGCGTTGCAGTCATAGTCGTTGGTTTTCTACTATGAGACCTGGAGCATGGCTCAAGTGGACGGCCAAGGAACATGGCACTGTTGCAGTTCGTCGAAGATTTGGCCTCTTGTGCTCCAATTGGCAACCTGATTGGAAATGCAAATTAAGGCCTTTAGAGTATAGGTTTTGTGGATTGAGAGCAACCCTGAAGATTCCAGTAGCCAAAAACCTGTCGACCACAAGGCTAGGGCTTCAAGAAGATGTAGAGACCCCGGCTAAGGATAACCTGCCTGTCTTCTGGAGCCTTCTTCGTGGCTTTCTCTTGTCGCCACAGGCGGCGCAAGCCCTCCTTGAGCCTGGACCGCGCGGTTCGACCTGACCTAACCACAAACGCCTCGGCCAGAAAATGGTCTAGGAAGGTAGAATTGCGGGTCCTGCACAAGGGGTTTGCCAACTTCAACGAAAGCAACCTTCCTTCGTGTTCTTGTTGGTGGGGCTATGACAGGGCTAGTTCTTGAAAAGATGCGCATGACCTACACGCATCCGATACATATGTGGGGCGCACACAGTTGAACACTTGGATCCCGGTGTCGGAAATTGCGGCACCTCTTGCCTCGGCCCCCGGCCGTGACGCGGCTGCTTCATTGATTTTTATTGCGCTGTGGCATTGCATGCATTGGCCGCACATCTCTGGAAGCGAGGTGTCCTCCGTCCTCCGAATCGTTCGACACATATCTCCCCTCCCTCTGATCGAGCATGACCAAGCTTTGAGTTTTGTTCACCTTGTGGGTTAGTGTCTTCTTAATCCGAACGATTGTGTATGGGATTGGCCCGCGTCACGAGACACAGAAAAGAACCGGAATAAGAAAACATGTGCCTGTCGGAAACTCGTTTCGGCAAAGAGCCCCGAATCGCAACAGAAGCGCATCTGCCAACGCTGCTTATCTTACCTGGCTTCCCACAGGTGAGCCTGGCATGGAAACACCGGCTGGGATGCGAGCAAGTCTTCTATCAGATTGGCGCCCGCCCCGCCTATGTCCCGTTGATCAGCTTGCACACAGAAACTTGCAATGAACGTGCAAGGATGCGCAAGGTGTAAGATTAGGTCAGGGAGTTCAGGGTGTATGAAGTATGTGGAGGTTCAGAGAACAGTACACGAACATTGGATGTTAACTACTGTTTGGATGAAGTATTCATGGATGCCACTGATCCCCCGAAAGGAGCCCACAGGCAGTCCGATTCAGGGTGGCATACCGCATGTACCATGTACGCATGAACTCGCTGTAATGATGTACGCTGTCTCGCTGGTGTGATTCCTGAGGACGGCTTCAAATACCGGCCGACGAAGCCAGATGTACTGGTTCACAGGTGCAGCCACCGAGGCTCGGGATGCGACCGTTTTGCCTTGGTTTCGTGTTGCTGCCGTCCATGTTCTATGGGATCCGGAATAGCCGGAGCAGCTGTCCAATATCTCAATTTATTGGCCCGCGTAGGCATCGTCCTTCTTTCCGGGCGTCTCCCCCGTCTTGGCATGTGGAAGTAGACGTAGTGGTGATGGAATGCTTGTTTCAGGAGCTTAGGGCCGTAAATGAATCAAGCCTAAATGCTGTATCCCCCCCACCCCCACAGAACTGCAAGACCGTCGAGCGGATCATGTCGCAACAACATGTGGGTGGATGGCAAAGCGAACTGGACGGCCGGCTTGATACCACACCACTTAAGTCTTTCAGCATATCATCAGTATCATCATGGTTCTCATCTTCGCCGCCGTATCATTGTGCAAGTCCTTACGAGTTGAAGGATTAGAAGCGTCAGTTCAAAGAGAGCATACGAAGAGCAACAAGAGTTTTCCTACCGCCGAGCGGCGTTGAACTGTCAGTGGACAAGTCGTTGGCAATTGAAACAAATGTCTGGGTTGGATTCTCTGGGCTGAAGATGGGTGAGATCAGTAGACACTGCTGTTGAGGGTTTAGTCAGGTGTAATTGGAGTGCATTCCATCGTCTGATGCAAAGGAATCCTGTGGCACTAGGCAGTGAACCTTCCCAGAGCAGTGATGACCCTGCGGCATTTCATAGTGCCTGTTTCGCCTTTGGGTTGACTGGTCATGGTGTTGGTTTGGAGCCAGGTCCCCTCCACGACTCGCTTTTCCAACACGTTAGTCTTGTCGTGAGCTCCTCCCGCGCCCGCGCCGCCTTGCGGCGGTGTGCTGAGCTGGAGGTGTAGTTGCCTAATTTTCGGAGTTTTCTTTGTTTGGCCTCTTGGTGGTCGGCCAGGGCGACCCGGTGGGGTCAAAGGGACTGACAGACGGTCCCGAACGTGGGCCTGCCGTGGGGTGCTCGGGTTGACAAGGGAGGGTGCACAGTACACAGGGCAGGAGTGTTCAACCTTCGGTGCTCGACGCAAGTCGCAAACAGATGGGCTCGGGAAAAGATTGCATCGAGTTACTCTGCTTGGGCATATCTCGCACTGTGACACAGCCGGTGTCTGTTTAAATCATGGAGCTGAATGCACTGCGGGCGGCACCCTTCATGCGACGAATTACGTTCCGCTTCGGTCTTGTCCCGAGAAATACATCAAAGACAACCTCCTCTGTGTGTCGGTGGAGGATTGCTAACCCAATGCATGCATCCTGACCACTACGCCCTACTTTGCCCGCGCAATGCGCTGCGATCGCTGCGGGCTGGACATAGGAAATCACTGGAAGATATTCTGATGAGGGTCAGACGACAATGGTTCAGTTTGTCAACAGTTGCATTCAAAACCAGCCGAAAACTTTGGACATGGTGAACCGCTTGAACAGTGAAGTCCTGAACAGGAATGTCCGGGCCAACAGAAATGGAGATCAGAAAACTGATGCCTTCTTCGGCAACCTTGGGGATATGAGTTAGAATTCTATTGAGAGCGTCGAGTTCGCACTTCGGTTCATGAGACAAGGTGGACAAGGAACTTCTTTCTTGAAAATCATCATTGCGCTCATTTCATGTTGGGAGCTCCGATCATTAGTAACGTCTCACCGAACGAAGTTCGCGCTCTACATGGGGTTGTTAATCGGTATAGATGTGACCTTCCCATTTGGCCCTCGCCGGAAGTTCAAATGGTCAGTACATGCTATAGATGCAATGGTTCATATTGGGCAAGCGTCGTTCATATTGGCCAGGTGTGTGAGACCAGCAACAACATATTGTAAATGGCTTTCAGACAGGTTAGTTGCATAGCCGTTCACGGCCAAAGGAAGGTTTTGTCCGATTGCGTTTGCTTTTGCTGATGAATTGGAGTTAAACCTCTTGATTACTGGTTATCATACGTCACCGTTGCACAGCTGCTGCTGCTGCTGCTTCTGCTGCCTGCTCCTGTGTCGTTTCTACCAAGTAGTTGTCGAGGCTTCTCGCAGCTCATTCACTTCTTGAAGGCTGTTGCGGAAGGTGTTCCAGAACCTCGGATATTTTCCGTGCTTACGGTTCCAAGGGATTTTGAGACTTTCAGGATCAGCGATGCTTTGTTGTTCATGCGCTTTCGGTATGTAAGGCTTTCTGAAATTCACGGGTGGGTTGTATTCCGGAAAAACAGCTTGAAACGAATCGGCACCACACATTATCCAACACTTCCAATGCCGATCCTTTTGAAATTTTCCTCGACTCCGACTGCTTGTGGCTCCTACGTCACTGCAGCCTGAGCGGGGTGAGCTTTTCCGGGGCCAGTCATGCAGTCGCACTGACCAGACCAAGCCACATCATAGTTTTCGTGTTGTTGGAAAGTGGGTTCGAGCTTCGCCGTTCAAAGTTAGGGGACAGGGATGTGAGATTCGGAAGTCTAGGGCTCTAGGGTGGGAGCCGCGGACTGTTGAACTTGAGGGTTTAGCCCACCCGAGCCCACCCAGGGTGTGGAGCACAAGCCGAAAAAGGCCCGACCCGCCAAGCCCCTTTAAGAATCTTTCAGAAAAAAACCAACACCCGAAAGCCTTCAATGCCGAAGCGCACGCAAGTCAATCGAACAGCAAGCGCTCCTCCTTTTCGGGGGGCATGCTCTACACCAACCAACCAACACTTCTAACACCTCCAAGGGTACGAACATGAATGCTCGCAGCAACAGCGTGAACACAATGATGAGCACTTTACAGGGATCCTGTTCAACAGCTCTGTGCTGTTGTCGTCATTTGCGACATGAAGTTCGTTGAAGCACTGCCCAGGGCTGAGGGTTCTGGGGTAGACGTGCTTCGGCTTTGGCTGGGTTACAGGTTCTAGCACATCGACTTTATAGGGTTCGGACGCAAGGCTTTACGAAGAGTGTCCGAGGATGTGAAGCTGGAGTTTCTGACAGACTTGCAGAAAGTGCACAAGAAGTTTCTGACCTGGAAAGAGTTTACCGAGTATCATGCACTTGTCCTCATCCCGCACGTTCCCAACACCATCAGCTCCTTTGTCGATATTTGCTGCAAGACTTTTGCATGCTTGCATGCTCTGGCCTTTAACGGCTTTGAACATCGCAGTATTTGGGCTACATGTACATCCTGTGACGGCCTTGAAGCCACCCTCTAGTGCTGCGATCGCACAACTCTGGTGCTGTAAACCTCGTCACCCTTAATCCAAACCAAACTCAGAGCAAGGCTTTGCGGATGCGTACGCAATGCACATTCCCATCTTCCTCCCCGACGAGCCTGAGATATGGGGTTGGACATGGTCGCAGTCTGATCCGCCTCTTCGCTTGTCATTATCGTCATACCACTCTTGGTAGGTTGCTGTCACTTCTTTCTTCATAGGCCAGAGGCTACGTCAGATCCCCATGAAGGCCTATGCTACCACGACCGAACCATAAGTCTCCATCATTGTGGCGAAGCAGCATTATTGCAGCACAGCCTGATATTGGGTGCACGAGTGGTCCTCATTCTGTTACTACTCTACGAGATTCGGGCAAAGGAGTCGACACGTGAAGTTGAAATAGATCGAGGGACTTGGCTTCGAGGCAAGCAATGCAGGAAAGCGCCGGGTTGCTCCGGGTCGCACGCGTGCACGAACACTTGTTTCGTTGATCTTGCGGGCATGAGCAACTCACATACTGACGGAGCGCCTGGCCATGCCTGGCCGGCTGTGCACGAGAGCAAGTCGAGCTGCAGCGCGTCGTTCTCAGTTTCATCTCTTTCGCTGCACACCACAGTGAAATTAACCTAGGCTTGAGGCTCCGGCAGCAATTCGAACGCGAGCTCTTGCACAACATCCGCATGTCAAGTTTCGAATCTTGCATGCCATAGCCCAAGCAAGTCGTCAGCTGACGTTTCGATGCCTTGTATGTGCAAACACGGCCGCTGGTCTACTGGTGTTCATCTCAGCACCAAACCTCCGAAGTACCTTCAATTCTCCCCTCAGGTACGCTGGCCCCGGCTTTCCTCAAAAACAGCAGCAAGCCCCTTGGACTCTAGCTGACGACGCACCGGACTGGTGGAAAGCTGCAGGCCAGGCCCGTGTTTAGGCAAGAGTTTGTAGCTTGGCGCTTATGGCCTAAGGCAAGGGTTTGGGTGTTGGTGTTGTGGGTTTTAGCTTGTTGATTCGAGCCTACATCCAAGCACAGCTCGGTGGGCCGAAGTCCCCAACAAACCAGACCGTCCGCGCTTTCCTGCTTAGCCAGTGCTGAGTCATAGTGCCCGTAATTACTCCTTTTAGTATTACTAGTGTTACTAGTGTTAGCAGCAGGAGCAGCAGCAGCAGCAGCAGCAGTAGTAGTAGTAGTAGTCGTCGTGGTAGGAGTAGAAGGAGTAGGAGTAAGAGTTGGAGTAGGAGTACGAGATAGTACGAGTAGCAGTAGCAGTAGTAGTAGTAGTAGTAGTAGTAGTAGCAGTAGTAGTAGTAGTAGTAGTAGTCGCGGCAGCAGTAGTAGTAGTAGTAGTAGTAGTAGTAGTAGTAGTAGTAGTAGTAGTGGTCGTAGTAGTAGTAGTAGTAGTAGCAGCCCATTGCACTGCCGACGTCTCGCACACAATCCGGGTGTCTAACGATGGGACCGACAGATAGTCCGCGACTTGAAGCCGTTCCACACTTTTGGTGGATCCCTCAATCCGGGATACTGGAAGACAGTGTAATCCATCTCTTCCAGGTTGATAGTATTCGCATCCGCAGGCTCTCGAACATACTAGTAGGACATGCGCGGGTCATTCATGCTGGATGTCTCGTGACAACGCAACTGCTGTCGCACATCACAGCTCTTCTGGTGCTGCCGACGCCTTGTTGCCGCAGATCGTGAGCAGCAACGCACGTGCCTCTGCATGTCCAGTTTGCAAGCGCGCCCTGGACTGATGCAAGCACTGACCCCATATTGAAGCAAAGCACGGGCTCGGCGGTCACAACGACGGCTGCGTACTCCATCGGGGAAACCACTGCAGCCACAGCGCACCAGAACAGATCCTGGTGCAGCCGATCTGACCCGCGTGCATAGCAGGCCTGCTTCACAAGCACCAGGGCCAGATCTGTGCCAACGCCACCGGGGAACACCTCTCCAGCTTCAGCTTCGATCGGCTCGCCTCGAAGGTGGTGGGTTCGCCGAGACATTCTCCAGTCCCGATGCACAGTATCGAGCAGTCGCAGCCGACCCAGCAGTCGCGCCACAGCCGATTCAAAGGTTCGCGACTTTTCCAGGGCTGCAATCAAGATCTCGACAAGCATCCTGTGGCCGAAAGTCCGGCGGTCCGCACACAGCGGCGGGGACAGCAGCTCGGTTTGCTTCAACGGGAGTATATGGGAGACTGAGGAGCCAAGAAGGTGGTTGGAGGTCTCTGCATTAGAGGCCTTGCAGCCCGAGTGAGGGTGGAGCACTCGGTGCAGCAGGTTCGCGATAACCAAGCAGGCCAGCTAGCCGCTGTTAGGGCCGCACCCGTGGTGCGTGTGCATCTGACTCCACTTTCATCGCTCCGCTGCTCAAGGACATCGCCGATGCCACATGCGTCAAAGAGTTTTTGACAACCTTCACGTCTGCCGACTGCGAGCGAGTTAACCTCCGCGGATACCAAGGCCCATGAGCGACGACTCGAGTGTCGGCACATGATCGAGGAAGGCCCAAGCCTGGAAAGAGTCAGGTGAGAAGCTTCAGAGCTTGCTCGATGCGGGCCTAGATGTCCGCACGGCTCGGGGCCATGCCTTCTCCCAGGTTTACGGGGAACAGGTTCAGGGGTTCGGGTGCGCACTTCACACCAAGACGGCGTTGATCCGGTGCCGAGCACCATCAGAGAGCCACGATCCTGTCCAGCCTGTCCACTTGTTTAGTTTGTCGGCTCCACAATTTCACTCAGGCCTCGAGAGCAAGTGGGGAATCTGGGACGTCCATATGCCGTCGAAGTTTTCCCATTGCGCACTCGGGGCCGAGGCTGAGCCAATTTGAATCCTCCTTCGACAGAGCACCTGGGCGCAAAGGGCACAGTGTCTTCCGCAGCGGTTCCGAGAGAGCGTGGTCTTGCCTGCGCTTGTCACGCTGCGGCGCGTGAGAGAGTTTGCAAGCCGAACGAGATCAAACTTTGTCCGGTTTTTTTTTCGAAGAGGGCAACACTCTGTGCTTGCGTACCGACTGTGCATGATCTCGCTGCTGTCCCAGCTTGCACTTGCACGTTACAAGCATCGACCCGTGCCCGGTGCCTGAGCGATAGCGTGGGCTAATAGTCTTTGTACGCAATAGGCCAAGCGCTGCCCAAACCGACCCCCAGTTACGCCGCCAAGCTGGGGTAATTGTGAGCCCGTGACCCACTCTCCGAGCTGCGAAGTGGTAGTGGGAGTTGTCGTGGTGGTGGCGGTGGTCGTGGTGGTGGTGGTGGTTGTGGTAGTAGTCGTAGTCGTTGTCGTCGTCGTTGTAGCATTAGCATTAGCATTAGCATCAGTATTTAATACTAATACTAATACTAATAGTATTAGTATTAGTATTAGTATTGTATCAGTATCACTATCAGTATCCGTACCAGTATTAGTATTAGTTTATGTCCATGTTTATTTTTATTACTATGATTAGTAGTAGTATCAATACCAGTATCAATATGACTATTACAATTGCTATTACTATGACTATGGCTATGACTATGACTATGACTAATAGTGTTACCCTGGCTCTTTCTATTGCATTTTACTCTTGCTACTACTACTACTGCTACTACTACTACTACTACTACTACTTCTACTTCTACTACTATTACTACTCCTACTACTACTACTACTACTACTACTACTACTACTACTACTACTACTACTACTACTACTACTAGCACGTTTACTTTTAAAGCAGTGGTCGTAGTGGTGGTGGTAGTAGTAGTTGTTGTAGTGGTGGATCGTACTGTCGTAGTCGGAGTAGCAGTTGTAGTAGTTGTAGTAGTAGTCGTCGTCGTCATAGTGGTAGTAGTGGTAGTGGTGGTGGTAGTAGTAGTAGTACTCGTACTCGTACTCGTACTCGTACTCGTAGTAGTCGTAGACGTAGACGTAGTGGTAGCGGTAGTCATGGTCGTCATGTTCGCGTTCGTGGTGCTGGTGGTAATGGTGGCAATATAGCAATGCTTCTAACAGTAGTGTTGGGTGTCGAGTGCGCAACCGTCGGCGTCCGGCTACTGCCCGCGCAAGGTGGCGACAAACAGCATCCTTTCGGTGCCTTCGAGCATCTGACGACCGAGTTCTCCATACAGCACCTTGCTGAGAGTCGTACCATTCATATGGTTGGGAGCCCACGTCTGCCGAGGTACTTCATCGACCGGGCATACTGGTTCCAATACACCGAGTACCACCTATTGCCCTTCACCCGACGTTTCAGGGGCATCGCGAACTTGCTTGCACAGTTGCCAAGCTGTATTCTTTCGTGCGCTTCAACATGTTACCGTGCAACGTTGCACAAAGCCACGCAGTCCTTCAAGGCGGCTTGTGAGATTTCTTGATATTTCCTTCTTGGCCGTCGCTGCCGTGGTCTTGCATTCTTGTGTAAGCTGTTAAGGCTGCAGGATTACACACCAGAGAAAGCGATGGCAGACAGTCGCAACATCGCAGCGGAGCAGGTGAAGAGGGAAGCTTATCTGTGAATAAGTTGATGAATAGTTTCGTAAAGTGGAGACAAAAGAACAACCAACTCCATGTCTTTGAAAGTAAGGAGATCTTGACTATATCCTGGATGTCTACGACCATCGCACACGGCTTAGCAAAAAAGTATGAAGAAAGCTACTGGGCATCGTGGCAAGACAGAATGGCATAGTGGTTTCGCGAGCCAGCAGTGCAGGAGGTCTACGGTTCAGGAGCAAAACACCCACATCCGAAATTCGGTGCGGACCCCTTGACCGCAAGACAACACCGACATCTGAAACAATCTGCCTAACCTTTGCTTTGCACCAGCCCCTGAGCCTTGAATCCTAAAATTTCCAGCCGATTAAAAGTCGAGCCATGGTTCAACGTCAAAGCACAGAGCTTTCTTTGTAAATGGCCATGTGATCTTTTTTAAGATATGCGTGTTGGCTTGTCTTGTTCGCTTGTTCGTTGGTGTGTGTGTGTGCGTTTCTGTGCAGCGGCGTCTCCCACTCTCATTGGACGAGCATGCCATCCGAGAGAACCATGTGTTTCCAAAGGTTTGACAACTCAACGCCAAACACCAAATGGCCATGATTTTCATTCCTTTTAATCCTAAATCGAGCAGTTCTGTTTGCCGACAATCGCCATGAAAGCCGCCTGCTGCTTCGCGCTGGTAATTCTGGCAGCAGTGGCAGGTGCGTCGTAGATAAGTCCACAAATTCCATTGCTTGTGGGTGGCCCACTCCATGTCAGACCGTTGTTTGCCTGCAGCCTGCATCAAGCCTGGGGACATGCCAGTCGAACACCACAGAGCCTGCTGGACCTAGATCCACCCGCTCGGTCGTCCTAGATCCGCACACCTTGCAGCCTCAGCCCTGCGAACGCCAGTCCATATCCGCAGATTCTTCAGCATAGATTTATCTCTCCTCGCTCCCTGCGAGGCCAAAGAAACTCTGCAAGGCGTTTGCCCTGGGCCTTCCGCAGCTAGGCTGACTCCTCTCAGAGATATCTTCGACGGTTGTGGAAACTCCAATTTAAATTGTGTCTATGGTGGCAGCAGTGACGGCGGCTGAGCATTGAGTTAAGTGTTTCCGGAGGTTCATGGCTCAAGGATGAAGCTCATACATATATATATATATGTATATATAGATAGATAGATATTACAAATACATAATCAAGTGTATATATATATATGTATGTATATATATATAGATAGATATTACAAATACATAATCAAGTGTATATATATATGTATATATATATGTATATATATATATATGCTCGCCCCCCCAAACATCTATGCTTTCGTGGTTCTTGGGGCATGGGGCGCACGAAGCACTGTAATGCTCAAAAAATCCCAAAATTGCCAACCTCAGAACTCACGAAACGCTGTAATGCTCAAAAAATCTAAAAATGTCAAAACAATCTTGCATCTACAACAAGGCCAGGGGCACTCATTAAAGTTTTGGAATTTGAGCACTACAGTGTTTCGTGAGTTTTGAGGCAGTGCAAAGTTGGTTCTTTTTGAGCATTGCAATGTCTTGTGAGGTTCCAAGCCACTAAACACTGCCATGCTCAAGTTTTGTGAGCTTTGAGGCTGTGGAAAGTTTTTTAGCATTACAGTGTTTTGTGATGTTCAGGCCACGAAACACTGTAATGTTCAAGAAATTCCAATCTCAGAAATCACGACATACTGTAATGCTCAAACAATTCTGAAAATTACAAAATTCTGGCATCTGCCACCAAGCCGGTGGCAGATTCACTCAAGTTTTGGATTTGTTTGAGCATTACAGTGTTTCGTGAGTTTTGCGGTAGTGTAAAGTTGTTTTTTTGAGCATTGCAGTGTCTTGTGAGGTTAAAGCCACGAAACACTGCCATGCTCAGGTTTTGTGAGCTTTCAGGCTGTCAAAACTTGTTTCTTGAGTATTACAGTGTTTTGTGATGTTCAGGCCACGAGATACTGTAATGCTCACATAATATCAGCTTTTCCAAGCCCTGAAACGCACGAAACACTGTAATGCTCGAAAATTCCAAAATTGTAAGGAATCCGCTCTCGGCCTGCCCATAGATGCCAGAATTTTGGAAGTTTTTGAGCACTCTAGTGTTTCGTGAGTTTCACGGTTGGAAATTTTGGAATTTTTTGAGTATTACCGTGTTATATGAGATTTAGGTCAGGAAACATTGCTATGCTCACAGTCAAATCTTGTGAGATTTGAAGTGTTCAAAAATTGATTGTTTGAGTGTTACATGGTTTTATGAGTATGCTCAAGTTTTGTGGGCCTTGAAGCTGTGAAAAAATATGTTATAGATACGAGTTGTGGATTCTTTTTGAGCATTACAGTGAATCGTGGATTTCAGGGTTGGAAATTTTTACTTATTTTTGGTATTATAGTGTTTCGCGATATCAAAGATAGGAGATATTATGTTATACTTATTGCGTTGAATTTTAGGTTTATATCCTCGGGGTTTAGTTCTTCTCAATCTTTATATAAATACAAAGCTAAAAAACTATATAAAGCCATATATTTTTTAAATAGCTTAAAAAAAAATCATTTATTTATTGTGGTAATTTAATTATACTGGAAATTAGTTCTACTACTACAATTATATGCTAGTAATAATTCTAAGATAGAGGAATTCTTCTAGAAAATCTTATAATCGTTCTTTCTTTATATTTGATTCGTGCTTTTATTCTACTATTTTTTATTTAAAATATAAAGCGACAGAAATAATTGATTTTGGAAGAAGAAATTATTTATAATCGTTAGAAAGAATTGGATAAAAGAATTAAATTTTATTGTATCTTTCTTGTTTGGTTTCATTATTATTAAAAAGATATCCTAAAATTGGTTCTTTTATTTTTAGTTCTAGTAAGGGGATTCTAGTGTTAAGTTATGAATTAAAAATTAATATGATTCTCTTATAATTAGAATTACTAATAAAGTATAGATTCTTGATTATTTCGATTCTTTTTGGTTCTCGTTTCTAGTATAACTAAGCGAAAAAAAGATTGCGAAATAAGTATAAGAGATAGAATATTTCTTGGATGATTTGTTCTTTCGTAGTTAATAGTTCTTGGTTATAGATGGTTATCTTGATGGGTTGTCGAGTTTGCGAGGGTGAGGTAAGGTCTCAAGATAAAATAATATGTCTGATTAGTGGCTCGCGTACTTCTTCTGTTGGTGGTTCTTATTGA